AGCAGGTGGGGTGATGGTTAAGAGTACTGGACTCCCACATGGCTGACAACGTTTCAAGTCCCAGACCTGGCAGCTTGCTTTCCCACTTTTCTGCTCTCTTTCTCTCTCACTCAGGTCAAATTAAAATAAATAAATAAAGTTAAGTAATTCTTAAAAAAAAAAGCAACCTAATTCTTTTATTCATCATCTAGTCAAAATATCAAAGTAACCAGAAACGCAGGTACTCTAAGAACCCACAATTCCCTATCTAGGCAAAGTGCATGGATTTGGTGAGCTAAGATACCAGGCATGAAAGTTACTCCTCTACAATATTACCGCCAGATAGTCTGTGATGCGGGGCCATCTCGTGTAAGACACACACATTTATCATTTGCCATGCCCCTTCTCTTATACCAGGATCATATTTAAAAAATTAAAACCAGCTTCAAATGCATCTTGAAGCTGAGGCATTCTCCTCTTTCTGGGAGAAAATTTAAGTTCTTAAGGGTATCTATTAACTCGGCAGAACAAAGCCAAAAATCACACTCCAAAAATTTTTCTCATCTTGGGTGAAGTATGCCCAACTAAACAAACAATGTAAGATATCTACCATATTCAGACACTGGGTAAGGACACAGCTACTTTCCCACAAGTGTCCTCTGTTTTCCCCAAGTATCCTCTAGCTACAGGGATTCTCTGATCCGAGAGAAGCATGAGGTGAAAAGTGCTGTCCAGACTACCAGGCTGTGATCACTGTGCAGAATGGCTATTCCTCAGGCATGACCAGTAGGCCAGGAGAATTGTTCATTGGTCTGCACACATACTACAGGTCTTAAATAATAAGAAAGGACACCCTTACAGCACAGGGACCTAAAGTTACTGTTAAATTCACACTCTACCTGCAACATCTGTGGCCACCAAAACTGGGATGTCTTTTTTCTTAAAGTCTGAAATGACCTTGTTTCTCTCACTCTGATCCATGTCCCCATGGAGCAGCCCGAGATTATGACCTTCCTGTTTAAGGTTATTGGCGAGTTCTTCCGCATTGGCTTTTTTAGTAACAAACAGGAGGACACTTCCTGAAGAGGTAAATTCCACCAGGCGCCGGGTAAGCCAGTTCCATTTACTAGGCCCAGAATGGAGAATCTCCACAATCTGTGTCACATCTTCATTTGCCTAAGAAGGAAGAAATGAAACAAGCTTCTGACACTGGGCACCTGAGTAAGGACGAGGCACTATACTTTTACCTGTAAGCAGAATTTTGAAAAACTTATTTCTTTGGGCCTTCCTTCAGCAAGTCAAACATGGCTCAAAACTCACTCTCCTCCCAGATCACCTTGCTCTCCTGGTGAGTACATACCCCTACCTAATCTGTATGCCTTAATACTGTGCACTGCTTGCTTATGTGCCTATTTGGATTATTCCTAATAAACTCCTTTTTGATCTCACTCATTCTCTGTTCCTAGTAATCAACACATGCAAACAGAAGGCAACCAAAAATGAAAATTGGACAAAGTCAAGATGCTAACTACACAGGAACTTTAGCAATAGACCTGCCAAAATAAATAAATAAATAAATAAAAAGGAATTCTCTAAGCAGCCATAACTGAATTCCAAATCCTAATTCAGAGAAGTTTCCCACATAGGGCACATGAATAGATAAGAAAGAAAATCTTATTTTCACTAAGCCCGTGAAGTCATCCCTTCCATCCTGAGTAGGGCTCCTTTCATAATCATTTAAAGCATTAACGCCATCCTAACTCACCAGTAGTCTTCCAGTTCAACTTTTCTGTTCGTACTTGGAAATTTTAAAAGTGAAATAAACATCGGGACTAGCAGTTGATGTAATGCTATGTCACTGGACTCCCATGTAGTCAACTGTGGTTCGAGTCCTGGACCCAGTGGCTTAAACTCATGCCAGGTGCGTGTGTGCCCAAGATCCAAAGAGAACGGAAAAGAAGGGACTGCGGCATGGCAATTACCCCTGGGGGGGGGTGATTTCTCACTTTCTGTCTCTCTTTCTGGAGAGCACACGTGCCCTATAGCAACCCCCCCCCAAAAAAAGGTGAAATAAACATTACCTACTCCCATGAACCCATCATCCAGCTTCAAAAATTACCAATACAACATTTTGACAATCTTTTCTTTAAAAGAAGCCCTTCTTTCCAACTTGTATATTTTAAAGCAAATCTGAAACATGGTACCTCTACATAAACATAATATTTGTATTACTCAATAGTGAGAAATTAATTGCCTCCATAATAGAAAAAATAACCCAAGGAAGTCCCAAATAGAAGTGCTTAGGGTTACCTCTCCAATATCTCCCTGCACCACTCTAATAGGGTCAATCAGGATGTCTCTGGCCAATTTTTCAATCTTTTTCCGGAAAGTTGCACTGAATAAAAGAGCTAAAAGGTAAAGTAAATTCTGTTAAAGAAACAACATGACTTCTCCGTTGAATACCTCACTAAGCTTCTTTGATATTCTCAGTACTACTTGGTTCTTTGCACAAACTCACCTAAACTTTCAATTTAAAGACTAATTCACGAAAGAGAAAAGTACTTGGTCTTATTCTACTTTTTACTGCATTTCTAGTTAAGACTAAGTTGTTAGCACGATTCAGAAATGGTTCTTGATTTCAAAGTTGATCTGTACTATGCATAGATTGTTTCTACCTACTGCTAACACTGTATAAACTGGAGCAAATCGTATAATTTCTGAGCCTTGGTTTTATCATCTATAGAAGCAATTTGTGGGAACCAGCAGTTAGCGTAATGGCTGTTGCTGGACTCCCACATAGTTGACTGCGGTTCCCGGACCCAGTGGCTTAGAACTCATGCCGGGCATGTGTGCGTGGGTGCCCAAGATCCCGAGAGGAGAATGGAGGAGAAGGGACTGCAGTGTGACCATTCCCCCGGGAGGTGATTTCTCGCTTTCTGTCTCTATGTCTCTCTGTCTGTCTGGCGAGCGCACGCGCCCTATAGCGAAAACCTCTCCAAAAAAGAAGCAAGTTGTATCTGATGATCTCGAAGTTCTGTCTGGCTCAGATAAACTGTCATTATCTTTCCCTTTATGATTCTCACCAGAACACACATGATCATTTTTGCTTCCCTAACTTTGAGTGCTTATAAAATAAACATGTGTTCACTCTGAGTACAAATGTGGTTTAAGAAAGCTGCTTCATACATACTCTGTCTGTCAGGACGGACATGACTTGCTATGGATCGAACTTGGTACTCTGGAAGAAGTAGAACAATAAGATTAGTATTGTAACCCTGAAACATATTTTGGGAAGCCCGGAAAAGTCATCTTAGTATAAAAATGTTCATAAGAAGTTGTAAGAACTAAGGATATTTTGAAACTGCTAGACTTATTCAGTATGAAACTCTAAAACTTTATCCTTCCATCTACTGGGTTGGGTCTAGTGGTGGTAGATTCAGTAAAGACAGCTTATCATTTTCACACAGTTGGGTAAATCAAGGAGGACAGGAAAGCACTTACCTGAGAACACAGACTTTGACCTTCACAATCAAAGGCATATAAATACAAATGAAGCAGAGAGAAGACACTCCCCAGTATACAGTGGCATTTTCAAATGTCCTCAACCCAATCAAGCCTAATGTATTTTCCAATTAAATACTCCCAAAAATGTTAAGGTCTTAGCTACAGTCTAACACTATTCAGGAGTATTTTTATCTTATTCTGAAAACAAAAATTGGCAAGCCTAGAAAGACATGGAAAAAAAATAATATTGTGAGGATAGGGAGAGAAGAAACTGGTATCGAAGCATACCAAATCCCATGTCAAACATTCGATCTGCTTCATCAAATACAAGGTAAGAGACTCTTTGAAGATTGGTAGCTTTTTTCTTCACATGATCAATCAGTCGACCCTATACAATTCAAAAAGTGTATAAGTATAATTAAACGGCACTTATAAAGACTTTTTAAAGCTGAGCTCCTGGCTAAAGTGCTAATTCTCCAGTCTTAGACTACATGCACTACATAGTTCAAAAGAACAGAAATTTTCAAAAGTGAACTAAATTCTTTTACATTAAATAGGACTTCAATTCCATGGAAAAGTGGCCAGGGCATTTTGCAAGGCACTCTGAAATGATCTGATTTATAGCCTTATTGATGGATTTTAACGTTTGGACTACACCTTTCTGGGCAGTTTTATCCATACTCCGAGACAGGTTTCTTATTCTCAACGTGCTTGGTAATCACAGATCCATTTTCTAGAAAAGTGTAAGAAAAACTACACGAAATAGGAATGTGTAGCTACTAACTGTATACATCACAGAGACTCTTACTAGACTGCCATTTTAGTCAACAAATTAAAATTTAAGCAAAGCCACATGCTGTCATTCATTGGGGTATTACCAACCTTGCTTTACCACACTTTAGGGGGAAATTCCCTCCAAAACGAACCCTGTTTTCCATACCAAGAGAGGCTGAGGAGCCATTTATGCACAAGACATACTTACTGGGGTACATACGACAATCTCTGCCCCTTCCTGAAGGGCCTTGGCCTGCTCCCACATGCTCCCTCCTCCATATACGGCCACTGATCGAAGATTATATGCTTTCCCAAATCGCTTACATTCTGCATGGATCTACAAAGTTGTTAACATATTAACAAGCTGCGACATTAGCAAATACCTCTATTATAATCAAAAGAGAGTTCTGAAAAACATGGTGTGATGTCATAGAAAATCTAACCCTAGAACATGCTTTAAAAAATCCCAGTTTTACTCAGAAAGGTATAAGTAAATATAGTAGAGTACCACTAGCACATCCTAAAAGGCTATCTAGAATCTTGCCTTGATTAGTCATTTTTTGTTTTCCACTTGTCTTCCTAATTCTGTCATTGCCTTTCTACCAAGAAAAATGAATTCATCCTGGAAAAAAATCATTGTGAGCTTATAATACAAACGATTCCTATATCACTGCTTTTTTTTTCCCCCTTAAAACAGTATTTCTGGTCCAGGCACAGTGGCACAGAGGTAGCACCACCATTCAGTAGGTTGAAATTTCAGGGGGCGCTACATTTGGCTCCTTGGCCAACCAGAATACACCAGGTACGGTTGTATATGCTCATGATCCTAGCTAACTGAAAGACTGGGGCAGGAAGACAGTGACACGGTGAGGCCCTGTAGGTAATATATGTAGTTGGCTATACAGAAAAAACGTAACACTTAATACTCAGCAAAATTTTCCTGATAGCACAACAATGTAAATATACTTAGTGCTAAATTGTACACTTAAAAATGGTGAAGATGATGAATTTTGTATTTTACAATAGAAAAAAACAACAAATATGTTAACAACAAAAATGGTTATTCTATCCACCTGACTCATTAGTCCCTTGCTAGTACACACATGGAAGGGGACATTCTATACCAAGCACGTACCTGTTGGCAAAGCTCCCGAGTGGGACACACAATCACTGCAATTGGTCCGTCACCTGGTTCCAATTCCTTCTGGTCCATTATATGAATCAACATGGGCCAGATAAAGGCTGCGGTTTTCCCACTGCCTGTCTTGGCAATACCAATCATGTCTCTGCCACTTAATGCCACAGGCACACCCTGGAGAAAAAAATAAAGTGTATCTATTCTAAAATTTCAATTCTGATTGATACTCTGTAGGAAATCCTGGGAGAAGATAAATGATTATTTAATTGACTCTACTTTGAAAATATGGATACAAAAAATACAATTTACAATAGCGGTGGTTGCTAATGAAAATTTTTCTCTCCCTGAGAAGGTACCGGGACTACCTCATTCATATAAAAAAACCTCTCATTTTTCTGTATAGAAATGAATGAATCCCATATGTGAATAGGAAACCAAAGCTATTACTTTCAATAATAAGTGAGAATTTTCAGGTCATTGACAAAAGGAATGCTAGTCACTGACAGTGCTGAATCTGTCCATGCACAAATGTTTCTGATAGGTTTAGGCCTAATGAAATGCCTTCTATCATATTTTCAAGTTATTTAACAGTTACAAAAGAATATTTTCCAATCACTTAAGAACTGTAAATAATTCACATTTGCTCTTTAGTTTTTTAAAAAATACTCCTGGATTTCATGTATGTTTCCCCCACCTTAATTAAAGCAAAAGTTTAAGTCAGAGGAAATATTCGGACACCTACTCATGATGATATGGTTCTACAGTAAACAACGACTTAGGCTTTGATTTGTTTGTAAACTAAATATAGTCACAAGAATGTCACTCTTTTCTTTCATTGTGCTTTACTTACCTGACACTGTATCGGGGTGGGCTGTGTGTACTCAGATTTCCGAATCTGGTGCATAAGCTGTTCATCAAACCCAAAATGAGCAAAACTACTTCCTGGTCTAGGCGGTGCAGCACCAGAGACCTAGAGATAGAGACAACTCCTAGGAATGACATGAACTTCAATACAGTAGCATTTGAAGTTCAACAATACTTACCTGGATCTAGCACTTGAAGTTGAAAAGGAAGTGAAAACATAAGCACTGCAGCTAAAAGCATATACTGAAAGGGCAAAATCTAAAATAATAAGATACAAAACCTCATATAAAAAAACTACATGATAGGGACCAGTAGATGGTATAGTGGTTACATGGCTAGACTCCCACATGGCCAACCATGGTATAAGCGCCAGATCTGGTGGCTTGCTTTCTCACTTTCTCTCTGGTCAAATTAAAAAACAATAACAACAATAATTAAAAGTTACATAAAATAATTTTTTTTGAGAGATATTTGCTGTAGGGAACGTGCACTCATTGGAGAGAAAGAGAGAAGGGGATGGCTATGCAGCAATCCCTTCTCCTCCATTCTCCTCTTAGGATTTTGGGCACTACACACACGCATTCAACATGAGTTTTAAGCTGCCAGGTCCGGGACTCGCATGGCAGTCAACTACATGGAGTCCAGCGATGTAATCGTTACTCAATCTGCTGGTCCCAAAAGTTTAAAATAAAGTAATTCTTAAAAAAAAAAAAAAAAAAAAAACAAGAAAAAGAAATATTCCTGAGCTAATTTTGTCATATAATTTTTATTGAGTACCTGAAACTATCTTAAATCAAAATTAATTTTCTCGTAAGAAATCAAGAGGGCCAGCATGTGGCAGGGAGATTGAGGCAGCTGGATCTCATATGGCTGACTGCATGGTTCATGTCTCGGACCTGACAGCTTGAAAATCATGCCAGGCACATGTGCATGCATGCCCAAAATCCCAAGAGAAGGGAATGCTGTGCATGACTATCCCCCCGAGGTGGGGAGGGGAAGGATTTCTCACTTTCCCTCTCTGGGGAATGTACACACCTTATTATGACCTTTAAAAAAAAAGGAAGAAAAATAATTCAATGAACTGGGAAGTTATTAACATTCCTTTTGCAATTTTGTATAAATATTAACCAGATAGCAGAAAAAATATTAACAAAACTTTCTCTCAAAATAAAATGAAAACTGAAAATAAACTCCAAATAAAACAAGTCTGTATGTACGAGTTACAAAGATGTGATCTACCACCTCTATTTTCGGTTTAGCCTGAAGAGTTAGCATCTCAGTCATGGTCCAGTCACTGTCAAAGCACTGTCCTAACTGTGCCCAGGTGAAGAATGGGGGCTTATTACTTCTACTGTGTCTCCAACAGTATAACTTTTCAATGCTTCTCCAGTGACACAAGTATTTCCAACCAAGATTTCACTTAAACAAACCAAACATTTTTTTGGGGAAGAGTGGGGAGCAGGTGAACTCTTAGAAAACAGACGCGAATACACACACATCTACCTATACCCACACTCATCTACCCACAGCTCTACTCCTCTGGGAAAACAGGAGTTCAAACAACACAGAGCAATTGGTAAGGCAGACATCAGCCAGAAAGTTGTCTACAATAGAGTAGACGTTAACTTATTATTTCTGTATATTTCATTTAACTAACATCTAGCAGTACCTTAAATAATATGGCCAAGTGCAACCCCCCAATTTTTTTTTTTTAAGTGACAGGGTCTAACTATATTGTCCACGCCAGCCTCAGCTTCCCGAGTTGCTATGATCACAGGTGTGCACCTCTACACTCAACTCTACCCCAAAGTGTTTTGGTGGGCAATTTTAATTACTGCTGTAGAATTAGTATACACATACTTCTATTTATTTTTTAAAAAGAATAATTTATTTAATTTTATTTATTCATTCTTTTATTTAAATTTGACTAGAGAGAAAGAGAGAAAAAATAAGCCACCAGGCCCAGGACTCAAACCGTGGTCGGCCATATAGGAATGTGCAGCGCCTAAACTACACACCATCTGCTTGCCCCACACACATAAAAGATGTTTATTTTTTCTAAGTGAAAAGATCCTATCAAAATATCTGGAGGACTAAAATAAATCCAGACACATGAAAAAAGGGATATAACTATTACACTAGCAAAAGCAGTTCTAGAACCATTAGCAAAGAAATGCAAGGTTATCAGCTTGGATAAACGATAACACTAAGCCTGGACTAATTAACACTAATATAACAACAGTGGCTGAATGATTATCTTACCCGAAGATTGAGCTTATGCCGAAGATCTATTAACTGCTGTGGAGTGAGGTTGGTTATCTCTTCATGCTCATTGTAAAAATTTTTTTCAAATGGTGGATAGTCAATCTGCAGGTCCAATTATTCAAAGTTAGTCTAGAATTCAAGAGTCAATCTTGTAAGTTTAATTTTAATGCAAAATAACCTCTTATAAATATACAAGTAAAGCCATCCCTGCTAGAAGAAAAAGGAATTAATCTATTTAGTGATGGCATACATCCCAGAAAGTTATAGCCACTACATTTTCTTATTCCTTTTTAAATATAAACATCAATCTACTTACTAAAGAAGCTGATAAGGACACCTCAGATTTTGAACAACCTTAAAGTAGACTAAGCAATCTCTGTAATGCCAAAGACCTCAATGGACAGGGTAGATATTTTACTGTACAACATTTAAACATGTTTTGGATTATGGTGTTCACCTAACTCTAGGCATTTTGAAACATTTCTAATATTTCCTTTGGTGAGACCTTTGCCTTTAGAGAGATTTCTGATTTTTTTTCTTTTTAAGGTTTTTGTCATTGGGTGTGTGTGCTCGCCAGAGAGAAGAGGGACAGAGACAGTGAAAACCCCTCCCCCCAGGGCGGGGTAGATGGCTACAATCCCTTTTCCTCCTAGGATTCTGGCATGAACAGACAAGCGCCTGCCATGACTTTCAAGCTGCCAGGTCTTTTAAGCTGTGGTTGCCATGTGGGAGTTGTGTCTAAACCACTATGCCACCTGTTGGTCCCAGAATTTCCATTCTTTTTTAAAACATGAAATTGCTGGGCTAGCAGGTGGAGTGGTAGCTGAGGTGTTGGACTTCCATGTGGCCAACTGCGATTCAAGGACCTGGAGACTTACTTGAAAAAATAAATAAGAAAATAAAATGAAACTGCTTATATCACTTTAAAGAAATGTACAGCCAAGCATTTCCAATTTTTAAGATAATAGTAATTTCTGCTATTCTTCCATACTTTTCTGTACTAAGGATACAAAACATAAGTAAATCGCCACATGTGAATTAGGTTAAATGATTCTTTTTGACATCAGAGGTTTTTGGGAGAATTTAAATCTTTCATAGATGGTAAAAATTTCTCATTAATTCTGGACACACCCAGGAAAATTTGGTGAGAAGAGTGGCATTGTTTTATATTCCTAAAAATCTCCAAAAATATGTCTGACTTCAAAGAAAATAGCTCTTACAGCATTCGTATTGTTGAGATAAGTTGTTTTAATTGAAGCCCATGGAGAAAATCTTGGCTCAAAAAGACTTACAGTCAGGGAAGGGAGGAGATTATTTTAGTAGCCTTTTCAGATACTTGAGGATTTTTGATACTCCCCTACAACTCGACAAATAGTTATTTCCTAAAGATTATTTTGATTGTGTAATTTTTTTTTTTTTTTGGAGAGGTTTTCGCTATAGGGTGCGTGCGCTTGGCAGACAGACAGAGACAGAGAGACAGAAAGCGAGAAATCACCTTCTGGGGGGATGGCCACGCCACAATCCCTTCTCCTCCATTCTCCTCTCGGGATCTTGGGCACGCACACACGCGCGCCCGGCGTGAGTTTTAAGCCACCGGGTCCGCGACGTGAACCGCAGCTGACTACATGGGAGTCCAGCGCCTTAGCCATTACGCCAACTGCTGGTCCCTTGATTGTGTAATTTGAAATCGTATGACTGAACTTTTTAGACTTCATTACATTGATCTAGTATGTATTCTGAAAGGAGTTTTTTTTTTTTTTTTGGAGAGATTTTTCACTGTAGGGCGCGTGCGCTCGCCAGACAGACAGAGAGAGACATAGAGACAGAAAGCGAGAAATCACCCCCCAGGGGGGATGGTCACGCCGCAATCCCTTCTCCTCCATTCTCCTCTCGGGATCTTGGGCACGCACGCACACGCGCCCGGCGTGAGTTTTAAGCCACCGGGTCCGGGACACGAACCGCGGTCGACTACGTGGGAGTCCAGCGACATAGCCATTACGCTAACTGCTGGTTCCCTGAAAGGAGTTTTTTTAACTCATGCATAATTCTGTAACATCATGCATCAGTCATTATCACAAAAATATTTTCTGAAAGCACTTTTACTTGCTTTCAGTGAAGTGTCATTTGGTTTCTCAAGTGAAAATGGTATTCCATGAAAAAAAAAATACCTCAGCTTATAACTCAAATATGAAATGCTTTTCCTTGAGATACCTATCACACTTTGGCAGGCAACAGAAATGTGTCTTATATGTACTTCTCATTTTATCACACATGTAACACCAGAGTAGATTTAATAAGTAGGGCCGGTCCTTCAGCTCAGTGGGACCCTACATGGCTGAAAGTCGTGTGAATGCTGGCCCCAGCACCTTGAAAAACATGCCAGGTGCATATACATGTGACCCTAAAGTCTTGAGAGCAGAGAAAAAAGGATTGCTATGTGACCATGCCCCATTGGGAGAGGTTTTGTTTCTCTTTTCCCCTCAACACCCTGGCAAGTGTACATGCTCTTTGGCAATTAAAAAGAATTTTTAATGTATAATAATCTTAACAATGTGTTTCATAAAAGCATTAAGTAAAACTGGCTTCCTCTTTTAACTGCAGTGGTTTGCAGGGAAGAACACAATGACTTGTGAACTGGCAGGGTGCCATTACTTAGACTTATGCTAAGGCACGAGCAGCTTCATCTCTCAGTGCTTTTATACCGTGGATGCAAATACTAACTCAGACAAAAAGGCAAATAACCTTAATATTATATGAAAATTCTTTCAAATTTGTAGACTCCCTGAAAGGGTCTCTGAACCACATGTTGAACACTACTGTTCTAGCTCCGGAATCACCAGGGTATGCAAGATCTAGTCTAACAGATGCCTGGATTTGAAACACTGACATTTTTCAAATAGGTTATATTGATACCCTCACTTCCTTTATCTGACTGAAGAACCATTTACTTCCTGACTTCTCTTTTTTTTTTTTTGGAGAGGTTTTTGCTATAGGGCACGTGCGCTCGCCAGAGAGAGAGACATAGAGACAGAAAGCGAGAAATCACCCCCCAGGGGGAATGGTCACACCGCAATCCCTTCTCCTCCATTCTCCTCTCGGGATCTTGGGCACGCACGTACACGCGCCTGGCGTGAGTTTAAAGCCACCGGGTCCGGGACGTGAACCACAGTCGACTACATGGGAGTCCAGTGACATAATAATAATCTTAACAATGTGTTTCATAAAAGCATTAAGTAAAACTGGCTTCCTCTTTTAACTGCAGTGGTTTGCAGGGAAGAACACAATGACTTGTGAACTGGCAGGGTGCCATTACTTAGACTTATGCTAAGGCACGAGCAGCTTCATCTCTCAGTGCTTTTATACCGTGGATGCAAATACTAACTCAGACAAAAAGGCAAATAACCTTAATATTATATGAAAATTCTTTCAAATTTGTAGACTCCCTGAAAGGGTCTCTGAACCACATGTTGAACACTACTGTTCTAGCTCCGGAATCACCAGGGTATGCAAGATCTAGTCTAACAGATGCCTGGATTTGAAACACTGACATTTTTCAAATAGGTTATATTGATACCCTCACTTCCTTTATCTGACTGAAGAACCATTTACTTCCTGACTTCTCTTTTTTTTTTTTTGGAGAGGTTTTTGCTATAGGGCACGTGCGCTCGCCAGAGAGAGAGACATAGAGACAGAAAGCGAGAAATCACCCCCCAGGGGGAATGGTCACACCGCAATCCCTTCTCCTCCATTCTCCTCTCGGGATCTTGGGCACGCACGTACACGCGCCTGGCGTGAGTTTAAAGCCACCGGGTCCGGGACGTGAACCACAGTCGACTACATGGGAGTCCAGTGACATAGCCATTACGCTAACTGCTGGTCCCCCCTGACTTCTCTTTGAAGAAACAGCCTCTCATCTACTCTAGATCTGGGAGCAATGGTAATGATTTACAGTAATTAAAAACCAAATGTGGGCCTGAAGACCCATTTTGAAAGGAAGATGTAAGCACTGTTTCTGGAAAACAAGTATAATTGCTTGAAAAAAATTCTTAAAATTCTAAAATTGAATGTAAGTGACCAATTCAAATATAGCTTTCAACAATATAGGCTATAGAGCCTGAAGCAATTTCTGACTCAACCACTTAGCAGAGATGAAAAGATTCTAAAGTACAAATGTTCTCCCAACATAGAGTACTTAGGACACTGAGAAAGCTCAAATACTGAAAGCTGAGGAAAACAGAATCAACTTGAGAAACGGCATCAAATTCAGCAAAAGATACCATACCTCTGAATGATCAATGGGAGGAAGAGGATCAATGATCTTTTTGGACGGTGCAATTGGATTTCCATCACTGTCATATTCCAAATTGTCTTCTTCTTCCTCCTGAACCACACCAGCAGTTGGGTTTTCTGCCATGTATCGAAAATAAGCTTCCTGCAGGAAAGCACAAGCATACAATCACACCCAAGTTCAACTGAGAATGTTCCTCTCCTGTAATTAGTGCACACAATGTACCAGATGACTGCACAGTTTCATACCTACCAAGTAAGGCAAAACTACTAGCAAAGAGTCCTTTAACAATGGCAGTGGTATTTAGGACAATCAGAAGACATGGATGAGACAGTTAGTACTACAAAATTAATTTGCTTAACAGAAGATTTATAAATTTGTCTGTTCCACAGCCTTCCTGACATGGGGTGTCTACCTACCCTTCCCAGAGCTGTGGAACATATGCTGTGGCTTTACCAACCCACATCTGGAAAGTAGCACTGTCTAGGAAAATCACAAACCTGGAAAGGGCTCACTGTGGTTCTTACCATCCCACAACTGAACAATGGAAAAACAAAAACATCAATGGACTGTCATTAATATTCTATCTTGAAATGTACAAATCAGAAACAGACCCTTACAAAAAGGTAGAGGTTAGATGTTGCTAAGAGGCCATCAATAGAGCCCACTCTACTACCTGATTTATTAGAATATTAATTTGGGGTTTTAAAAAAGCAAGCTGAAAAAAGCTTCTATTTCTTTTCAATTTTACAGCTGATCAAAAGTTCCATCTTCAACATGGGAGAAAGCCATGTGAATCTTTATCATTACCAACTGGTCACACAGGTAGAAAAGGAGTAACTCAAATGACATTCCCTGCTGAATAAGGAATGGCCATTCCAGTGAAGGCAAGCTAGCTTTTCCCCAGTATAGACTTTGCGGGGTAAAAATAAAAGAGAAATACTGCATAGGAACTCACTTGGTCATCTTCCTCTTCAATGTCATCTCGAATACCCCTGGAAAAACAAGCGGAGAAACAAACTTCCCTGCAAATGTTCCACATACCCAGCTCCATACTTACAGCAGATTAGTGTTGAATTCCATACAGCATAGGAACTCTCAACACTAACAATAACAAAGCAGCAATTCTCGCACTGTAAGCTCTCCACCCATCGAATATGTGTGGTTTCAATCTGTAAGCTGTACTGTGCATGTCTTTTGAACAGGCTGATGTAGTACCCCATAAACACCAATTACTCACAAGGAGATTGGGAGTAAAAACTTTCTGAACATAGGTATCAAAGGATCCTACCCTGTCGACCTATACATCAAACACAATACAGCTGTGAAAAGTATTTCACATTAAAGAGATTCCTGTGTTTGTATATGCTAGAGAAAGAAGGTCATAACTTTCATATTGTCCCTTAGGCAGTAAGAGAACAGAAGAAAAACTACATTAACTCCTTTGTGAGTTTGGGACTAAAACTCCTAAACTGCTCAATGGAAAAGGAGACTACTGCCACTTGGTGCATTTCTCAGTAGCTACACAAAGTATGGTTGCTTAGTTCCCACAAGCACCTCTTTCTAATTTGACTTTCTGCCTAACTAACTAAAGTAACTCACTATTCCTAAGGCAACCAGCAAGCAGCACCACCAGTACAGGGCAGCTGGAAGAGGATGCAACATACATAAGCACCAACAAGAGGAATGAACCTCCATATGCCACGGGAACCTTGGGAGGAGCCTGAAGCACTGATAGTCAAGCAGAGGGAGAAAAAAGTCCACTCACGGTTGGTTGAAAGGGTCTTACAAGTGTAAAAACGAGATGTCTCTTTCTCAGTACATTAAGTACTTCAAGTTCTAAGAATGCTAAAGCACGATGTCACTCTTCGTGAAATGAGGTTTTATTATACCAAAATACATTTGTTTTTATGATATAATCATCATTACTTCTCATAAACAATCACACAGGCATTAACTTATTTATATCATGGGATACAACTCCAAACAATGAACCAAAACTTTAATAACTATGCTCCCCAGACCCCTACTGCAATTCAATTCTTGTGTTTACTAAAACACTATTTATGGTTAAAGACCAAATGCTACTTTAGCAAATAGGATAATTTTTAATTACTGCAAATGCAAAGACTTTTGCTATCTCTATTACCTACAAAAATATTTAAAATTTAAGAGTAACTTCAAGTAAAGACATTTGTGTATGTTAATTTTTACTTTGGGGGAATAGGCTTTGCAATATTCCAGCAATTTTTATGTAACCTTTATGAAGGAGAAGAAAACAACTTACTTTACGTTTTTTCGTTCCTTGTCCTTTTCTTCAAGCCTCTTCATGTCTCTAGCAGCCTGATCCTAAAGAAACGAAAGGCCCTAAGGAATCACATCCATTAAAAACACTGAAAGAGGAATTCTCTTTCTTTTTAAAGTTTATTTCTTCTGTGAGTCAGAGAGACGGAAACAGAGTCAGAGAGAGTGAATGAGCACAGCGCCATCAGAACACTGACACCATGATCTGCCTCCAGCTTCAGCCAGCCGTGGATGAAGAGCAAGTGTGTGACCATTTTACTCAGGGAGATCGCTGAGCCTGAGATCGGAACTCTTCCTTATGTGCCAGCCTCACAGAACCTGGCTCTTGGAAATTTCTATTAGAAAGAAATTCTAGAACAGGCTGTGTTGCCTAGTGGTTAAGGGAGCCGGATCCCACGTGGCCAACTGTGGTTTGAATCCTGGCCTGGCACCTTGAAATGCCTACTGGACACACATGCGTGCAATGCCTAAAATCCCAACAAGATGGAGAAATGAAGTAGAAGGGATTGTGGGGCAATCACACCCCATAGGGTGAAGGGGATGTTTTCTCACTCCTATGTCTCTGTCAAGTGCAAGCACTCTCATGCAAAAAAAGAAAAAAAAAAAAAAAAAAGGAAAAAAATCTAAATCTGTGATGTCAACAATTTCGTTGACATCACAGATTTAGCTATGCACTTTGACAATTTTATTTTGATGCAAACTGCATTTTAACAATTATTTTTTCAAAGTGAAAGACCCAAATGCTCTAAAAACTTAACTGTACAATTTTCACCTATAACAAGCAGGATTTTCAAAAAGTTCATGGAAAAGGACGTTTTAATTACAAAATTAAATAATTCTTAAAATAAATCAATGCTGCAAAAAATAACTTCATGGAAAATAAATGTAAAAAAACTACTTATGGTCTTAAATTTTTTTTGTGCCAAAATAAAATAGTTCTTTGATTCTAATTTTTCATGAACTTTATGAAGTCCCTTCATACATATCATCTAAGGTAAAAATTAGTAAAAATGCTTGCTTCATAAAAATAAACTCTTCAGTGAATATTTTTGGAGAGATAGGGCACATGCACGAGATGGAGAGAGAAAGTAAGAAATCAGCTCCCAGGGGCAATGGCCACACCACGATTCCATCTCCATTCTCTTCCTGGGATTTTAGACTCCAGGCACATACGTATGCCCAGCATGAGTTTCAAGCTGCTGGATCCAGGACTTGAACTGTGGTCAGCCAGTGTGGGAGTCCACAAGCTGCTGTGTCCACAACTTGAACCGTGGCCAGCCAATGTGGGAGCATCCACCACTCCATCACCTGCTGGCTCTCACTCTTCTTTTTAAGTTGATACAGTTATGGCTGTAAAAGGTCTTAAATTCAGGCAAATAAGCTTTTCTCAAAGTGTGACTTAAGATCATTTATATCAAATTACCAGAGGGGCTAGTAAAAAATTACAGATTTCTGGCTCTGATCTGAAAAGGTGGTTTTCAATCTGGAATGATTTTGCTCCTACGCAACATTGCCCTAGCAATGTCCGAAGACATTTTTGATAGTCACAACTTGGAGTAGAGGGTGCCAGGGTGGGGCTGGTGTTACTGAGGAGTGAAGGCAGGGACACAGTTCAACATCCTACAATGCACAGGGCAGCCCTCACAACAGTGAACTACCCAGCCCCAAAGTCGCTAGTCCTGGACTTAATACCCTGCTCGAGATCTACTAACCCAGGAGCCTTGGGGGTAGACTAAAATGTGTTAAGGTTTCAAGTCTTTCCATAGGCAATTCTTTTTTTCTGGAGAGGTTTTTGCTATAGGATGCATGCACTCACCAGAAAAACAGAGAGAGACAGAGACAGAAAGCGATAAATCACCCCCCAGCAGGGATGGCCACAGCACAATCCCTTCTCCTCCATTCTCCTCTCAGGATCTTGGGCACACATGCACACGCACATGCACCTGGCGTGAGTTTAAGCCACCTAATCTGGGACTTGAACCGCGGTCAACTACATGGAAGTCCAGCGACATAGCCATTATGCTAACTGCTGGTCCTTCCATAGGCAATTCTTTACAAGTTGATACTTGCCTCCACTTCAGCCATGAATGCCTCCAAGGGATCATCATCACTGTCAGATAGCCATTATGCTAACTGCTGGTCCTTCCATAGGCAATTCTTTACAAGTTGATACTTGCCTCCACTTCAGCCATGAATGCCTCCAAGGGATCATCATCACTGTCAGAGTCTGCAGGCTTGGAATGGAATTGCTGGCGGGGCCGGGGGGGTTTCACAAAAAAAAAGGTAAATCAACATTGCTAGAGTCTTCTTCCTCATCTTCAAAATATCTGAAAATTAGGAACCAGCAGATGGCATTAACAGTTATGACACTGGAGTTCCTCGTAGTTGACCGTAATTTGAATCCTGGACCTCGTAGCTTAAAACTCACACCGGGCACATGTGCGTACATGCCCAAAATCCCAAGAGGAGAATGGAGGAGAAGGGATTACAGCATGGCCATCCCCCTTGGGGGATGAATTCTCGCTTTCTGTCTCTGTCTGTCCACGGAGTGCATGTGCCTCCTATAGCAAAAATCTAAAAAAAGAAAAAGAAGAAAATCTGAAAATTAAAATGGAAACTGATAAAGCGAATGTTTAGTTTGGGATCAGTGACTCTTTCAGTAGAGTCTGTGCTATGGGAACACATGGCATTTTTGTACGAAACATCAAATATTTAGTTTGTTACAATCCTTAAAAACTTTGTTTTAACAGATATTTTTTACCATTTTTTTTTTTGAGAGGTTTTTTTTTTTTTTTCCACTATAGAGCGCGTGCGGTCGCCAGACAGACAGAGAGAGACAGAGAGACAGAAAGCGAGAAATCACCCCCCAGGGGGGATGGTCACGCTGCAATCCCTTCTCCTCCATTCTCCTCCCGGGATCTTGGGCATGCACGCACACGCGCCCGGCGTGAGTTTTAAGCCACTGGGTCCGGGACCGCGGTCGACTACGTGGGAGTCCAGCGACATAGCCATTATGCTAACTGCTGGTTCCCTTAACAGATATTTTTATAAAGCTAAGGACTTTCTTCAGAAGTTCTGGGTTATTTTCTGAGGACCAACAGAAAACTTCTAAACTTGAATCCAAAATCATTTACCATACTACTTAAATATTTAGAAAGGATAATTCCAAAGCCTAGAGAAACTATCACTTTTTCTTTAGAGACAAGTCAATATAGCTCTTTATGAACTAGAACAAAAACACTATTCAGACCTTACCTCGTAATTAAAATAGTAGTACAACCACATATTAGTTTAAATAATTTAATTGCAGCTTAAAATATTTACAGCATTTCAAGTCTTCAAGGAATTCCTTTAAAGTTTCATTATGTTTCATGCATACACATCGACACTCACACTACTAGTTCTGTGTGTGTGTGTATGTGTACACCAAGGCATACTCATATAGTTAACTGTTATGCTATATGTAGTAATAGCAGCATATATTCACCAATACCACACTATGTTACCATATGTAATAGCAATCATATTAACATATATGGCATAAGGTACACACACACATACACATATGTTGATGGTAATACATACTGATTTATATAGTAGATTTTACTTAATAAAAAAAAGTTCCTGAACTGGTTAATGCTCTCTTAGATGATGCCGTGTACTTCAAAAAAATTTAGAACTCCAATCTTGTGACTTTTTAAATTAAAACAAATAAAAAATTCAGGGATCAGCAGTTAGCATAATGGCTATGTTACTGGACTCCCATGTAGTTGACCGTGGTTTGCGTTCCGGACCCAGTGGCTTAAAACTCACGCTGGGGGCGTGTGCGAGTGTGCCCAAGATCCCGAGAGGAGAATAGAGGAGAAGGGATTGTGGCGTGGCCATCCCTCCGGGGGTGATTTCTCACTTTCTGTCTCTCTCTGTCTGGCTAGTGAGCATAGGCGACTTACAGCAAAAACCTCTAGAAAAAAAAAAAAAAAAAATTCAAACACTGTCACAACCAGGTTGGAAATAATAGCAAAACGATTCACCAAAGAAATTATCTTCAGAAATTATAGCTTAAATCTTCAACTTCTTTTTCTTTTGCTATAAGGTACACGTGCTCAGCAGGCAGAGAGAGAGTGAAAGTGAGAAATCACCACCATCCCCCAAGGTTGGATGGCCACACCACAATACCTTCTCTTCCATTCTCCTCTTGGTACTCTAAGCACGCATGCACATGCACATGGTGTGATTTTCAAGTGCTGAGTATGGGACTTGAGCTGTGCAATTGGCCAAGTGGGATCCAGCCACCTTAACTACTACACCACCTCGCTGGCTCTCCAACTTTTTATAACTACCACTTTATTAGACAAATGAGTTAAAAATGATAATTTGGGGGACCAGCAGTTAGCGTAATGGCTATGTCGCTGGACTCCCACGTAGTCGACCGCAGTTTGCGTCCCGGACCCAGTGGCTTAAACTTATGTTGGGTGCATGTGCGTGCGTGCCCAAGATCCCGAGAGGAGAATGGAGGAGAAGGGATTGTGGTGTGGCCATCCCCCCTGGGGGGTGATTTCTTGCTTTCTGTCTCTCTGTCTCTCTCTGTCTGGCGAGCGCATGCGCCCTATAGCAAAAACCTCTTAAAAAAAAAAAGATAATTTGGGAAGCCAGCAGGTGGCATGGTAGGTCACGTGCTGGATTCTCACATGGCTAACCATGGTTTAAGTCCCCAACTCAGCATTTGAAAATCACACCAAGTACATGTGCATGGGTGTCCAAAATCCAAAGAGAATAGAGAAGGGGACTGTGGTGCTGTCATCCTCTGTGAGAAGTGATTTCTCATTTTCCTTCTCTGTCTCTCTCCAGCGGGCACACATGCCCTATGGCAAAACCCTAACAACAACAACAAAATTACTTGGCATATGTTTCCTGAGAATTATTGAGAAGATCTTGAGCAAATTTTTCTACCACTCTCTGTAATCATTTTAAGGACAGACTATTAGGCAAATTATGTATTTACAGAACAATTTACATAGTATTAATAAAAAACTGAAGTAAAGATCAAAATGACATGAAGTATTAAACTCTTTGGCCATATTTACGTTTCAGTGGCCTCAAAGCCCATAACCATGCATTTATTGAGCAACTGCCCACTAGAACACTACTTAGGAAGAAACCCGATTTGCTGAATGAGTACACAGGGTATGACAGACAAGTACACTTGACAATTTATTGGGGATTATGCAATTCAGTGAGATAATCAATTTAAGAAGTTATCAGTAATTGAGAAACAGTTTCTGTGCCTCGGTTTCTGGAAATGGAATGAGTATCTCAAAGCCCAATCTCAACAATTACCAGGAATCACTACTTACGCATTTTCTTCATCAAAGTTGGCCCGTTTTGATCCAATTTTGTAGAAAGAAGGGAGCTGTGGTGGAGCTGACTTTCCGAACCCAGAAGAAGAGCTGGTTGCCCCAAAGGCACTGTGGGACTGTTGTGGAAGTTTGGGTTCCTCCTTCTTTCCAGCACTGATGGCAAAACCTCCAAAGCCAAATCCCCGCTTGGTGCCTGGGCCACCTTTATTCCAATTCATGGTGCCAATAACGGGTCTATTAGGAACAATACACATGAATATAAATTTAGCTTTATAAAGTAAACAGCCCCACTGCCTGTATGTCTCTGCCAACCTCCAAACTACTGCCTACCAATTAAAACTATAACATGGTTTTTCAGATAGTAACTTCAACCATATGACTACATTTCCTAAAACAGTGAAAAGCATTCTTTTTATTGAGATCTTGGTCTAAACAGGAATGCAATATATAATACCATCCCCTTCAAAAGGATTTGACTATTCATTAACATCACCTTAAGTTGCCAAAAATACTCAGAGACAAGAAATATTGTGGGAAATCTAGTATGTGCGAGGCATTGTCTTTGGCAACCGAAAATATCAAGAGGAAAAGACTTGATTTCTTACACTTTATCCTTAAAGAAGTTACAGTCTACCAGGAGAAGAAAACAAAAACAAAAACCACAATTTCAATATAATGCTTGCTACAACAAAGACTGAGGTGTTATCAATAAGACTACCCTCAAACTGAAGATTACCCTCTGGCAATGACATCTGGGAGAATCAACATTTTAAAATACATGAGTTATTTGTAAACAGTATCTATGTATTTATCTCGGAAGATTACTTATGAACCATGAATTTACTGAGCAAGTACCAAAGAACACCATTCAGGAAGAAACATGATTCAATGATATCGGAAGAAATTACAATTCACTGACAAGTTGCCTAAACTATTCAGTTAGCCTGTGATTAAGTATTACCAAAAATTAAGTTGCGATAATATCAGTTTATAAACAATATCTTGTTATCTTACTAGTTTTGGCTAAAAAAAACAAACAAACAACTCTTAGTGATACAAATTTTATAGACAAGTAGAAAACTCTGCAAAAAGGAGTAACATTTAAAACTATCTAAAATTTCTTCTCCCACATATGTATTTTTGTTGTATCTCTTGCTCTGTTTTAATGTATACACAAAATTTAATTATAAAATTAAAATAATATTTTATGTATCATTTTGCTACTGGAATCTTCACCTAATGATATACTGGGTGGTCAGAAAAGTCATGACACATTTTTGCATAGAAAAACACAGAAAAAAGATAAAAAAAAAACCCATCATGGCAATAGATTAAATATCTCTAAAATGAAAATTGAGGGACAGACAGTAGTGTGGTGGTTAAGGCATCTGGAAATCACATGGTCAACTGAGTGGTTTGAGTCTCAGATTCATATGGTTGAGAAATACTCTAGGCATATGTGTGAGTGTGCTCAAAATCCCAAGAGAAGAATGAGAAGAAGGGATTGAGGTTTGGCCCTCTCCCCTAGAGGGTGCTTTCTCACTCCCTCCTCCTCTTTCTGTCTCTTCAGTGAGCACAAGTCCTCTAACAAATCAGGAAAGAAAGAAAGAAAATGAAATTTCACATGCCAACATACCACAAATGGTTCCGCACCTGACCTCCTGTAAAGAGTCCTAGCCATAACACTGCAAAACAAAAATATTGTGTAAAACTGGGACCAGCAGACATGGCGTAAAGGTTAGATTGCTGGACTCCCACGTAGTTGACTGTGGTTCAAGTCCTGGACCTGGCAGCTTCAAAAAAACTCATGCCGGGCATGTGTGTATGCATGATCTTGAGAGGAGAATGGAGGAGAGAAGATTTCGGTGTGACCATCCCAGGGGATGATTTCTTGCTTTCTGTCTCACTGTCTTTCCAGGAAGTGCATGTGCCCTACAGCAAAAATCTCTATAAAAAAGAAAAAATATATATTGTGTAAAATTATCTTCAGGTATGGGTATAAGACATGTAAGAAATATAAATTAATTTTGTGTTTGGACTTGGGTTCCAGCCCCAAGACATCTCATTATGCAAAACTGAGAAATAATGTATTTGAGAATCTGAAAAAACCCACAAAATCCAAAAACACTTTTGGTCTCAAGCATTTCAGATAAAGCACACTCAACCTGTAAAACATCTTCAATGTTTTTTTTTAAACTTTTTTAAAGAGTTTTTTTTTTCTATAGGGCGTGTGTGCTCGCCAGATAGACAGAGAGAGAGAAACAGAAAGCGAGAAATCACCCCCCAGGGGGGGAAGGCCACGCCGCAATACCTTCTCCTCCATTCTCCTTTCGGGATCTTGGGTATGCACTCACACACACATGCCTGGTGTGAGTTTAAGTCACCGGGTCCAGTTCTCGAACCGCGGTTGACTACATGGGAGTCCAGCGACTTAGCCATTATGCTAATTGCTGGTCCCTAAAACATTTTACAATGTTAACAAATATATTTATTTAGTATGGTCTTATAATCTTGTAGAACATGATTATAGCTGTATCTTTAAGGCATACTCAATTATTTCCTTAGGATCAATTCTTTACACGCAATTGTTTAGTCAAGGGAATGAATATGCACTTCTCGCTTTAAAATTTTAAATTACTGCTTACATTTATGGAAAAGTGCTTATTAAAACACTAAGTAAAATAAGGGCATAAAAAAGGTGGGTGGTATGATTCAACTTATATATAAAAACATGTTATTACAAATACAGAGATAGTTGAAAGGCTATTTATCAAAATGTTAATAGCAGTTACTTGATTTTTTATTTTCTTTGTGTTGGTGCTTACTATCAATCAGAAAAAATTTAAATGTTTACAATGGTCTCTCTCTCTTTTTTTTTTTTTTTACTTTTGAGGTTTTTGCTATAGGGCGCGTGCGCTCTCCAGAAAGAGAGAGACAGAAAGCAAGAAATTACCCCCCGGGGGGGATGGCCACTCCGCAATCCCTTCTCCTCCCGGGATCCTGGGCACGCACGCACATGCACCCAGCTTGCACGATCGACTAAAAGAATTCTAAAAATGGATTTTTATGGTAACATTGTTGAAATCAGGAACAACAAGATATGTGCTTTTCTGCTTCTATGTCCCTCTCTGCTCTACGCCTTGCATTTTTTTTTTTTTGAGAGAGATTTTCACTGTAGGGCGCGTGCGCTCGCCAGACAGAGAGAGACATAGAGACAGAAAGCGAGAAATCACCCCCCAGGGGGGATGGTCACACCGCAATCCCTTCTCCTCCATTCTCCTCTCGGGATCTTGGGCACGCACGCACACGCGCCCGGCGTGAGTTTTAAGCTACCGGGTCCGGGACACGAACCGCGGTCGACTACGTGGGAGTCCAGCGACATAGCCATTACGCTAACTGCTGGTTCCCTATGCCTTGCATATTGTCTGAACTGCTGTTATACAGCATTTAGTTGGGTCTCCTCAGAATTAAGTTTGAGTTATGTACACTATGTCAATCTCCATCCTTAGATCCTACTTAGTTCCATAAAGGGACTGTTTACTAATTTTGGAACTTGCTTAACTATGAGAATGGCTAAATTAAGTACTTAATAAGTACTAGTTTACTTGAACTTAGTTAAAAACCATCTCCTGCTCTTTTAGGAAACTCACAAGGGGATTCTTTCATTTGGAGAATCAACATTTTAGTAAGAATATTTAAAAGACATTTTTAGCATCTGGTAAAAACCTTAATTGCCAGAAGGTACATGCACTCACTGGAGAGACAGAGAGAGACAGATAAAGGAGAAGGAAAAAGCACATCTATAATCCCAGCAACTTGGAAAGCCAAGGCAGAAAAATCATGAGCAGTTTAATAAGTAAGAGATATCTACTAATCATGAAGTTATCAAAATACAGTATAGATATTTAAAAATCAACTATAATCCTGCTACTTGTGGATCTGTTTAAAGCCATTACTTGGTCCTAATGCACGCACATAAATACTTGAGCACTTTGCCTTCCCTTGAGTTCTTACACTATGCCTGGTACCTCATCCTTTCCACCAAGCAGGCAGACTCTATTATATAGCTCTAAAACCTCACCTCTGCCTCCATAAACACTTCTCCAATGGAAGACAGAAAAAGTGAAAACAGTCACTAGCTTCAGAACATACATTCATCACATTCACCCTCCACCCAGGTAAACTTCACAAATTTCATTAAAAACAACAAACAAAAACAGCAGCAAAACCCCCCGAAACAAACAGCCCAATTAAAAAATGGCCAATAAACACATAAGATGCTCAACATCACTACTAGTTAGGGAAATGCAAATCCAAGCCACAGTGAGAGTCCAGCTGAGAAGGCGCAGCAGAAATGCAATGTGCGGTTGTAACTATATGGGAAGGTCCCAAGTTCACAGGTTTCCCAGAGGTCTCCCTGTATATGCTGGCCCGTGGGCCTCTGCCAATGCCTACCATCCTGGTTGGCTAGGGGTGGATCACAGTGTGAAGACCCTGATGGAAGAGTGTTTCTCTCTCTCTCTGAAGAAACAGACTCAAAAAAAAAAAACCCACATTGGGTCAGCCCTGTGGTCTAGTAGTTAAGGGAGTGGGATCCTGTGGCTCAAATCCCAGCTAAAAACACACTGAGCAGGTGGTGTGGTGGTTAAGGGCACCAAACTCCGACATGGCCGACCATGGTTGGAGTCCCAGACCTGGCGGCGCTTGTTTTCTCTTTCTTTCTCTCTCTCCGTCTCTCTCTGGTCAAATTTAAATAAATAAATAAAATAAAGTTAAATAATATAATTCTAAAAAACAAACAAACAAAAACCATACTGGGTATGTGTGCAGACATGTCAAAATCTCCACAGGATGGAGAAACAAGAAGGGACTATGGTATGACCACAACCCACTGCATGCATGCTTTCACCTTCTCTCCTCCCTCCCCCCCAGTGCACACACCTTCTGGCAAAACACACACACACACATAAAGACACAATGAAATATCACCTTGCATTCATTAGGATGACTAGTATTAAAAAAACAAATAAGCAAACAGAAAACAGAATTGACAAAGATCAGGAACCCTCATTTATCGCTGGTGGAATGTAAAATGGTCCAGTTACTGTGAAAAACAATATGGTGGTTTTTCAACATAGAATTTCCATATGATCCAGTAATTCCCCTTCTGGGTAAAAGAAAGAAAAACAGGGACCTGAACAAGTATTTGCACAACCATGTTCATAGCAGCATTA